GAATAACAACTTCAATGTAATCGGATATATAGGGTGTTTTTTGAATAATAAAATCATTATCTTCTAAAAAAAATTGGTATCCTAAGATATCATCTTGGAGATTTTTGGCTATTTCATCTGAAAAAAAAAGAAAGATATCAGTGAATTAATTCAAAATTTCAAATTAATTGACTTGCTTATTTAATGAGCTTTAAAATTCAAACCATTATCTCAAATTGATTCATTTTATGCGGGATATACTGGGAGATAAATAATGAATAATATTGATTTTAATTTTAACTCTCAAATATTTTGCTGATTTAATGGGATTAGATTAGTGTAACGCCCTGTTTCGAATCGTTCCCATTTCGGAGTGGTGATCAAGAATTTGGGTATTAACAAGCTTAGGACCCTTGAAGAATTGACATTTAGACTCATTTGGGGGTGGATGATGTAATTTGGATGATCCGGGTTTTCGGTTTGTGTTCTGGAGCCAAAGGGTATTTTGGTAATATGTCAGCTCATGATTTTATGGGAAATGGATGTTTGTTCGGGATATGGTAAGGCAGGTACGAGTTGATTGAAGTGTAGAGCTTCTTGTTACCTTTTCATGGATATAAGGATCGTTGGAATTGGATTTATAATGAAGAAGTTATGGCCTTCGGAGTGCTTAAGGGTTTAAAGGGAAACCCTAGTACGCGAGGCGTACCTAGGGAGTACGCGCAACATACTGATGCGAAGGACATTTCGTTGGGCGTAATGTGATGTACGCTTAGCGTACTGCGAGGGTTTGATCGGGGGTGCGAGACCTCGTACGCTGGGCGTACGAGGAGTACGAGGGGTAAAGTGAAAACCATAATTTGGATGTTATACCCTATATAAGTACATTAAGTCTTTAGGGCTGGCCTTTTTACCAGCCTCCAAGTCCCTAAACCCCTAGAAATCATCCTTTAGCATTCATGTTGGTATTGTGAACTCATGGTGTCCTTTTTTGGTGTGTTTTGGTCCATATCCAAGAAGTAGAAGATTGGTGCAAGGTTGAGGATCGAAGGAAAGTCTATGGATCTTGATTATGTGCTTCATTTCCAACTTGTTTGAGGTATAATTCTATGAACTTGATCATTGATGTCTTAAATTTATCATTTATGAGTTTTGGTTCCTTTTTGGCCCCATGGATGTGATCTAGTGGCTTGATGCCACTCCAGGATCTTTGAGTTGCCCCTCTTGGTGTTTCTGAGGTTAAAGGTCCATAAAGTTGACACCTTTATGGTTTAAATCCATCCATGCATGAGTTTGGTTCCTTTTCATGATATTAGAATGCTATATTTTGAGGTTTTGTCTTCTTGGGGGCATGCAAAGTCACCAAGTCAGTGACTTTATGGTTATAGACACTCGTTTGGGCTCAGATTTGTGGTTTGGACTTCTGGATTTATGCATTAAGAGCTTGATAGAAGGTTTGGCTTATTGGGTGAATACGTTGGGCGTACAAGTCTGTACGTGCAGCGTACAAGCCAAACAGCGAGTACGCTTAGAGTACAGATGGGAACGCCCCGCGTACTCAGTCAGGAGGGATTTCTCATGTTGGGCTTCAGTTTGGGCCATCTTTTGGGCTTGTGGTCTTGGGCCCTGTTGGGCCATCAGGTTTTAGGCTGATGATTATTTTAAGAAGGCCTACAATGGGTTTGGGCCCAATTTGGAAAATTGGGCCATGGATTGGGCCTTGGGTGGTTTTTGGTATTTGGGCCTTTTTGGATTATTAGGTTTGGGCCTAATCTTGGTCCAAACTAGGTAAGGGGTAAATTGGTCATTTACCCTAGTAATTGATTCATGGTTATGGTTTGGGACCCAAGTGTTGATTAGGTCTTGTTTTGATATTATCAGTTCGGGGATCGGTCAGCCAGCAGCCAAGGACTTTCTGTGTGATTCGATAGTGCGAGGTGAGTCTTCTCACCATATCCATGGGTCAAAGGCACCAATGCCGGCCCATTACTTGTTATATGGAATGCTAGTTGTCTCTGTGATACTTGCATGAAAGACCATGGGGGTAGCCCATGACACTTGGATATCAGACCATGGGGGTAGCCCATGGCATTCCATTTAAGACCATGGGGGTAGCCCATGACACTTGGATATCAGACCATGGGGGGAGCCCGTGACAGTCCAGGTAAAGACCATGAGCGTAGCCCATGACACTTGGATATCAGACCATGGGGGGAGCCTATGACATTCCAGGTAAAGTCCATGGGGGTAGCCCATGGCAACTATACGTTGTCGCATGATATTATGTGGTTGTATGTTATGTAGTATTTTGGGGAACTCTCTAAGTTTTGTGCTTACGTTTTTCAGTTTATGTTTTAGGTACCTTGGTTTTCCAATGGAAGAGCTCGGAATGATTGCAGAGCACACACCACTTGTTTCCGCATTCTGTGATTTACTTTGATTCGATGATGTTTTGCTAAATCTCGATTAACTTAGTTTTATGGAAGTGATATGTATTAACGATTTAATAATCTAAAAACAAAAATTTTATGTCATTATTTTGCGACGTTACAATTAGATTTTATAGGTTAATAACTGAATTATTGATATGCATATTTAATGAGTTTTTTCAAAAAAAAAAAAAGTTAAATGTGTTTGAATTTTTGAAACCAAAAGCTATAGATAAGAGAGTTAAATTAGGAACAATATTAATTAGAGAAATTGGTATCATGCATATAAATAGAATGATATGCTTCAATTGATAAAATAATTATTGAATTTAAAGGTTCTATAATTATTAAAGATTCTATAATTAAATGTAATTGTGTTTGAATTCGTTTTGAGGAAGATGATGTCAGCAAGTTGATCTAATGATAGAAAACATTGAATTGAAATACAATCAATGGCCCTGATTGCTTCATTGGTGAATTAAATGTTCTCTTTTAATAATATTTAGAGATTACATGAACCTAAACTTTAGCCGAATGCTACATAGTTCTTCATATCCTTCTTTATGAAGATCTTGGATAATGCTTGCAAGCATTCACGTTTGCTACATCTTTCTGCTCGTTGAATTTCATGTTCCGGTTGTTATTAACTATAGCAGTCTCGGTTTCTCAAGGAATATCAATAAGGTATTTTTAGTGACATGGAACTTATTCTTGTATTTGAGGACGATCCTAAAATTTGTTGTCAATTAGTGAACATCGCATTAGTTTGTCCTTAAAAAAAAAATCGCAAGATAAGTTTTTTACAAATGTTACTGTCATCTAAAGAAGAATAAAACTTCAATTTTAGTATTTTAGATATTTTAGATATCTGATCATTTATAAATTGGTTGTCCATATATTTGTTACAAATTTAATTTTATAAAGTTTAAGATTTGTGTTTGAATGATTATTATTATGCTTTGTTTATCATATAGACAACAATAAGTTCTACATCTCCATATAATTTTTATATTTTTATGGGATTTGGGACAAAAAACTAGTTTCCATATAACATGTTTAGTCTCATATTTACCACTATTTTATAACATGTGGGAACCATGGTTATAAAATTAATTAAATGTTTATAGTAAATGTTCATAATTATTAATCAATTATTTTAGATAAATCATTTAAAATAAATTATTAATTAAAAGATATACCAATATTTTAAAATTATTATAACTTCAAATTTAATATATAATTAAAAAAAAGTAAATTTTAATTTTGAGTTAATTTGCCTAATATATCTCCTTCACACGTAGCATAATATTAATGATGAGTTGTATTAGAGTAACATATGACAAAAGAAAATTAAAATTATTCTTTTATTAGTATAGAAAAATATGTTTAAGTCCGACTAAATCATCAAATAATGAAAACACAAGCTTCAACTTTTACTTATTAGAAGACGATTTTGAGGCCATTTCTTTGAAAGATTTCACTAATTTCAACTCTACAATATTACTTTTTTCTATTGTAAGTACAATATCACAACGATTTCAACATTAGGGTTTATTTGAACTTTTGATTCAAGTATTTATATTTTATGTACAGTGATTATGTTTGATCTTATTTATTCTGATTGTTTGTTTAATTTATGTTAGCGTAAATAACCACCATAATCCAACATTTGTTAGGGTGGTGGGCCATATATATTATGTCACATTTTCCACGATGAATAGGTGTCCAATTCACAAAAAAAAATTGCAAAATCGTTAAATCACCATCAAACCTCTTGCTATATATTATATATAGTAATTGTGTTATTGGAGAATTTTAACAAATTTAATGGTATGATATACAAAAAAACATTAATAATTTTTTTAGAGCAAAATAAAACCTTTTTCCCCTTTTAATCATATTCCTTTTAATTTTATTTCATTCACTACTTTTTCCGTTCATATTTAACATAATGAATTAAAGACTCATTTGTTAAGGAAAATATAACAAAATTTTGCCTAATTATTTAAAAAAAAATCAAATTAAATGACCCATATAGCCATCGAAATCATAGTTGTATCATCATGTGCTACGATTTTGTCATTTAAACTGCGATTTCATCAAAAGTATAAGTTTTCTTTTCCTTTTTTTTTTCTCGAGTTTTACCATTTAGCATTACGAAATTTGCATATGGCATTTAAGCATCTACAATTTCAAAAGGCTCATCGGTTGGACTCCTGGAAAAAATCGCTCCATAAGCGAAATTACAGCTCATTAAGTGTTGCTTTTTCATAGGTTATTAGGCATTTTTCTTAATTTTTTTGTTATTTTAAAAAAAGGTAATTATATGGTTATACTAAATTATATTTTCTTTTCAGTTAATTCCTCCATTGTTCATTCAATTCTTGGTTCGTTCGATTCCATTGTCATATATTGCACACCAAAAAAATACGAAACAAAAATTAATTAATTATTTTTGCAAATTGATATATAAGCATGTACGAAATTTGTAATTTGCTGGAAAAATATTTGTAATTTATTCAAAACACTGACCCGAACCCGAACCAACCCGCCACGAAATCTTACAAGAAAAAAGCCCGCGAAAACTCTCTTTCACACAAATCCACCATTGACACGAACGATCTGACCGTTTATCCACTCACCGGCGTCACTCGCCAAGAACCCAACCAAGGGAGCAACATCCTCCGGCAACCCCAGTCTACCCAAAGGGTTCTGATCAATTACTATATTCACCATCGCTTCAGTTTTTCCTTCGAAAAACAGATCTGTCGCGATAGGCCCCGGAGCTACACAGTTCGCCGTGATCCTCGTCCCCTTCAGTTCCTTCGCCAGAATCTTCACCATAGCCTCCACCGCAGCTTTAGACGCTGCATACGGCCCGTACCCCGGTCTCAAAGATGCCACCAGTGATGTCGTCAGACAGATAATCCTCCCTCCGCCGCCTTGCTTCAACCTGTTCGCCGCCTCCTTACAAGCATAAATAAGCGCCTCTCGTGTTCACGGCAAACGTCCTATCGAATTCGTCGAGGGAGGAATTGGGGATCGAAGAATAGGAGGAGTCAAGAACCCCGGCGGCGTTGACGAGGATATATAATGGGGAATCGAAGGCGGACTCAGCTGCATCAAAGAGGGCTTTTACTTGAATCGGATCTGATACGTCGGCTTTGAAAGAAACAGCTTGTGGGGATTCAGATTGAGATTTGGAATTAATTTCCGAAACGACTAGATCCGCTTTAGAGGAATTGGAAGTGTAATTGACGACGAGCTTTGCTCCAAGGGATGCTAGGTGGAGGGAGATGGCTTTGCCGATACCGCGAGAGCCGCCGGTGACGATTGCAACCCGGTCCTGCAGTTGGAGGGGCTGAGATTGGGTGGTTTCCGGTGATGAGACTGTGATGATTTTGCTAGCCATAGGTGTGGTCGAGCCTTGAAGTTTGAGTGGAGAATAGGAAGTTATAACTATTCATTTTAAATAGAAGCACCAGCGCACTGCTGATTGCATCACCGGGATGATAAAAAGCCTCACTGCTGACGTCAGTTTCATGAATGAATACCTGTGACTCGTCTTGGGCGACATGACTAAACTTGATTTTTAATTGTACCACATCTCCTATGTTATTTTAGATCTGAACCGTTGTATTTTTTATGTTAATTTAGTAAGAATGTATTTATTTATTTAAGTGCAACGGGCTAGTTTTCAGGTCATCATTCGAAAAATCAAAGCAATGAGGCTAGTTTTCAGGTGTTCGATAAATCGAGGCAATGAGACTGGTTTTTAGGTCATTGTTCGAGAAATCAAGGCAATGATGCAAGTTTTCAGGTCGTCGTTCGAGAAATCCAAAGGCATGTCATCCGATACCTAGGATGTCGGCACCCTAGGTATTAACATTTTGACTAAAAAACAAACCAAAACCAAAACCTGAACCAAGTTGAGGTACCACCACTCCACCTGGTCGTATGAAACTAGCATGCATCTTGACTCCCAGTACTCTTTCATAGAATATTAACAATTTTTCCTGCTCTTCAAAAGACCTATTCGGTTAACAGTTCTTCAATCAAGCACAACTGGTTTTTAGGTATATCAATTTCAGACCCATCAAATATTTCGCGTCTTGAAACCGGTGTTAACGTATTAAAATATATGTATGTATTTATGATGGGCTCGAGCCACTTTGTGTAGTATACTAGACTCCCTCCTTGTAACATATATAATATTTTATTATATTTAAAGTTATAATTTTATTTACCTAGTAAAGTTGTGTATAGGATGAAAGACATCTCGCTCATTAAAACAATATTATATGGTACATACGATAAAGAGGAAATCTGGAATACCACATAAAGTGGATGGAGCCCATACATAAAATACATACGAATCAAAACCAAAAATTTGAAAGACTTTTCTATTTCTTCTGATATATGGACTATTGCTAACAGAAAAAACCCTTGTTTTTTTCCCTTATGCGGCCGAGAGAAACTAATCTTATACCGGTCTGGTGGACGGTGGACCGGTGTAATAAAAAAAATATTGATTTTACTTTCTTCTATATCATTTTGTAATTTGTTCCCATATTAGCATTGTACAATAACAAATATACTCAACTAAACAAAATATGAATGAAAAAAACATTAAAAGACAATAAAATAAAAATGATAACAATCCATTTACACACAATTAAATGAAAGTACGTTAAAAAAAAAGTGAAAGTTATTGTTTAATTACATCCTAAATTGATTCCTAAATGAGTTCACTTTTCACAAGAAAATAATCAATCGTTAGTCGTAAAAAAAGTCAATATCTAGTAATTATTTTTAATTGTCAAAAAAGTCAATATCTAGTCATTATTTTTAGTTGTCGGTCCATTATCACCAGGTTAAGATAATCACAAAAAAAAAAAAAAAAACTCAAATTACAGAAAGTAAAAATCATTAACACACACTATTAACCATAGTATCTTATTTTTCCAAACAAAAATTATAAGTTGTTAGATTATAAATATAATATAGCCCAATCAGCAACCATCAATAACCGACAACACTTCAACTCATACACATTCAAAGAAACTGTGTGAAAGTCCAAAGCTCGAATAGAAACAAAATAAAGAAAGTAGAAAGCTATAACTTACAACAACTATAAAGTACATTGTTATTCTTGCAATTAGCTAAAAAAAGTGGTTAATTTGAAAGTAAAATGGTGTAATAAACAATTGAATGAGAGTATGTTGTTATTTCTTGCAATAATAACCTTATTATTTCTCGATAAAAAAATTTTATTGCATCTGTTATGAATAAAAAACATAAGGTAAAAATAGTCATTTCAATAAAATTTACAGCAAGGCTGTTAAATCTGAAGATGCACGAGACCACAAATAAAATGAAAGAATGAAGTGAACGGTATGTATATACCTTTCTGACTTGTCCTCTTTATGGGTCAAAAAGCCAAACCTACCACTTAGCGAGTAACCGACACCAAATACAAACAAGTATGTTGTTATTATTGACATGTTGGTCGGGCATTATACTTATATTGTTAACACCGTGAAAGACAAAAATGATCAACTCAATGCTAAAAATACGAATACAGATTAAATTTCCACTCCATGTCAAGTCTTTCGACAAAAATCCCAACATCCACCTTATAAAGTACTTTGCATGAAAGTAAGGTGCTAACTTCACATAATATCAATTTTACATTCCTTTCAAGAGTTATATAAAAGGAAATAAGTCCTTCTAAAATATGTTCCATAGACATATTTTAATGCTATTAACAGTTCCTGCACATAATAAGTAATTCATATAAATTTTAGAAAACTTAATGCATTAGACACCGAATAAAGCAAAGCATAAATCAAAAAAACTCGTAGCATCATGGGATGCTGACAAACTTTAAACTCATACAGTAAAAAGTAAAGATAAAATAAGCACATACATGAACTTAAACATATATCCTACTTATAGTTTACCTTGATTGCACACATAATAGTCTCAAATTACTAAAGAATAACGATTCATTCTGAAGTATTACCACTACTAGAAAACAGCCCTTTTAATGACGCGCAAACAATGACACGCGCTGATAGAGGACGCGTACTTGTGCATGCCCTAAAAAATAGTGTCAGTTTTGCAAAATTTAAAGGATAGAGGACACCCATTTTCGCGTGCCCTAAAATTAGTGTCAGAAAAGAAAAAAAAAGGAAATGCGGAGGGCGCTTTCGTAAAATGTGTGTCATCTAAGTGTGTCGCTTTATAATTTTTTAATGAAACACGCGTTTTAAGGCGGGATTTCACCCGCCTATTGGATCCCAAAAATTAAACCCCCCTCTTCCAATTAGCAAGAAAAAGCCCTAGGCCTTTGTCTTCATTAAGACAAAGAAAGACTGGGACGATGGGTATGTTCAAACCCTAGACCACATTCACGCCTCTCCATCCACACTCGCTACCTTTTCCTCTGTTTCTTCCTCTAACACCGTTGATTTAGGGCAAAATCTCCGCCATCTTCAGTTCATCTTCAGTCATATGGATTTGTAACCTCTGATTTTGGAAGGGAGAGATAGGGTTTCTGGAATTTTATCATGATATGAAACCCAATAACTGAAGTGATGAGAAGTCAGGGGTATTTTGGACCATACGAGTCAAAGATATTGGAAGGGTCATGACCGGTGACAAGGAGGGGCAAGAAGGGCGGTCCATTATTTTCAGGGGGCCTCAAAACAAAGATAGTCTAGTTTTTCACTTAGTCACACGCGAGAAGGCGGCATAGATCGATCGCAGCAGAGAAGGCGATATAGATCGATCGCGGCAAGAAGGGCGGCCCATTATTTTGGACCATACGCGAGAAGGCGACATAGATATCTACGATTCACGCTTCAACGACAGCATCGACTAGCGAGGTCCCATGGTTGATGTGATTCTCTATGAAGGATCAATTTATGCACTCCTACAGTCTTGCTATTCTGCTGATTGCTAATCAGATAAGTAATCGATTAATTGATGTTATCCAAGTCTTCAACTCATGCGTTGGATCAGTTTGTAATTAAATGCCGAAATCAGAATATCGATTGTTGAGTTGAATCTTCAGTTTGTAATTGAAATATTGAACGTCGGTTATCACTTATCAGTTTGTAATTGAATGTCGATTATCATTATCACATACAAAAATCACTCAATCAGATGCCGATTATCAGTTTCTATTTGAATACTTGAGTTGAATTGAACACTCAATCTAATAATGTTGAATTGTTGATTGTTGATTTTTTTGAAATCATCTAATCGATCATTCATACTTTCTAGAGGTATACAAAATAAATATAATTATTTACATCTCAATATTATTACTAAATCATTTTTTAACAAATATCAATGTAGATAGCATTCCTGCTTGGTGGATTTGGGGTTATTGGGTTTCCCCTTAGATGTGGCGTGTATGGAAAGAAGGTGGGACCGGGTTTCTGTACTGAAGTTTGAGTTGACTTTTTCTCTTTCTCTTTCTCTTTGCAAGTTTCATATTATTGTTATTTCTATCAACATGCAATTGTCAAGTTAATAAATCAGATGTATTTCTTGTTAATTTACAGGATTTCTTGAAATACAACGAATCATCTCTAATGAAGCTGCCTTGTAAGATATTTGATCCCATTCCACTTGGTGAAGCTGCTGGTGTTGGGAGGATGAAGGATGCAGATTTAGTAGCAATGCCTGAAGGTTCATCTTTATATGATTTGGTTCAAACGGGAATCACTACCACACATGCTTCTGTTGGAGTGGTGGTTCGCTTGAGGGAAGAGTTGTCTCTTGTAAAAGATATACCTGTTCTTTTTGCAATTGACCAAGTGAGTTGACTTTTTCTCTTTCTCTTTCTCTTTGCAAGTTTCTTATTATTGTTATTTCTGACTTAGGTCCGGTTATTAGCAAACAGGCAAATAAAATTTAATCTTAAATCTTAAATCTTAAATATTATCATGTTATGTATACATAAAGTCATAAACAATAATTCTTGTTAATTTTTTATTTGAATTTGTTTTTATATTTTTCAGGCAAAAGAACGAGTGTGCAGATTGATCCAAAGTGGAGTTGAAAGTGGAGCTAAAATACTGCTTGATGGAAGAGATATTGTGGTATTTTTTTCAACTTCATATAATTCTTTATGATATAAGGGCAAAATGGTCATTTAGTCCCATTCAGCAGACTTAAGTAAACAGACATTGTGTTGTTTTGATGTTGACTAGGTTCCAGGATATGAAGAAGGAAACTTTGTCGGGCCCACACTCTTGTCTGGTGTTACTGAAGATATGGAGTGTTACAAGGTATAAGCTTTCTAGTGTTATTTTCAGTTATGAGGATGAGGAAGGGCATTTACGTCTTTTGCACAAAGTATGTTACAAGATTTAAACTTCTATCTAAATACAGGAGGAA